AATTGAGAACTGTGACAACTGTTTCTGCAGATCAACCCCCTTTCCTTGAACAATAAATAAGCAAATACTATAGTAATATTATAATTAAAGAAAAAAATAAAAGAGGAGCAATACATCACACACACACACACACCATTCTTGAATAAAAAAGCAATCTTTATGTGTTTTGTGTTTATAGGTATTTTTTCTTTGGGATTGATCTACAAATGAGTAGGAGAAATTGCAGCCAATCCAAAGATTAAAAATTTAGTCTTTTGACTGATAAAGAAAATGCTGTGACTGGTTTTGAAATTCTTGGCATATTTTTTCTTGGATTTGTTTGAGTGTTTTAATATAGGAGGTAAGTAATGGAGTCAAGAATGGATCATTATGAGATCATGGAACAGATTGGGCGTGGAGCATTTGGTGCTGCTATTCTTGTTAATCACAAGCAAGAGAGAAAGAAGTAAGTTGAAAGTTTCTAACTTTAATGCTTATAAAATTTGAATTTGGTGTAAGATTGATTTTGAATGTTGAAATAATAGGTATGTGCTCAAGAAGATCCGTTTAGCTAGACAAACTGAACGTTGCAGGAGATCTGCTCATCAAGAGGTACATTCTACTTTTCCCCCCTTTTAATTTGGTTATGGTTTTTGCCTTTTCTGCTTCTCTATTTCTTAAGCTTAAATTGTTGACTATAATGGGCTTTGTACTGAATATATGCTCAGATAGAGTATGCTGAAAGAAGAAAATATTTGTTTTGCTTATTTTTTCAACATGGTGGCTTTTTGTACTGAATAGTATATGCTCAGCAACTATTGATTTTTGGCTTTCACTTCTATTTGAGGTGAAGGAGGCTCTTGGAATTTTCCTTTGTGGATGATTCTGATTTTACCTTACTTTTGTCTAGCTTTCACAGTTCATTGAGAGATTCGACATCTGTGATTCACTCTATGCTGGGAATTTAAGTGAAACTTCAAACAGTTAATGTGCATTCTTGCTAGATTTCATCTCCTAATTCTTTAGTTTTTCTACTATAACACCCTAGGCAAATCCCACATCCAAAAAACACCGTAGAGATGCTGGTTATATAAGTAGACATGTCTTAGACTCTAGTGAAGCGTTTTAAAGTTGTGCGGGCCTAGGCTCAGACAATATCACTAGTGGTTTGGACTACTACATCTACTTGTATCCCATTTTATACATTTCTCATTTTGATACGTTCTCATCTCTGCTCTTGCTTTTTTTTTTTGGCGCATGAGACTCTTCCGCCTATGCAAATTTACACAAATGCATAGCTATTAAGAATTCCTGATGTGGACTTTATTGCAACTAATGTGCAGATGGCACTGATTGCTCGGATTCAACATCCATATATTGTTGAATACAAGGAAGCATGGGTAGAGAAGGTGAGAGGCCTGATTTTGTTTTCAAGTGCTGAGTTGACTAGAATTTCCTTGAAATTGGTGATTAATTTGCTCTCGTGTAAATCGCACTGCAGGGATGCTATGTTTGCATTGTTACTGGCTATTGTGAAGGTGGTGATATGTAAGTCTATTTAATAACTTTTGGTTTTTTTGCTTAACTTAAGTTTCATTTTCCCCTCTTTAACAATGCATATTTTAATAGGGCTGAACTGATGAAAAAGGCAAATGGGCAATATTTTCCAGAAGAGGTACGCCGATGCTGTATTTTTGTTTGTCATTTAATTGCGACATGTTCATTATATATCTAGATTGTAGATTATGGACAGGAGACAAGTTAATAGCTGATTTACAAGTTAACTTGTTCATCTGGTTGGGCTATTGTAATATTTATCTAGTACTAGTATAAACTTCAATTAGTTTCCATTTTCGAGTGTCTCATATTTCAAGGAAATGTTCACCATACAGAAACTTCTGAAGTGGTTCACTCAACTACTGTTAGCAGTGGAATATCTGCATTCAAATTTTGTACTGCACCGTGACCTTAAGGTATGTATCTTTAATATCTGTCGTATCGTTTTATTTATTTTTCGCTCCAATATATTTACCGAGATAATTTCTGTATCCTTCTGTGGCAGTGCTCAAACATCTTTCTGACTAAGGAAAAAGACGTTCGCCTTGGTAACTACCAATGTTTCTGTTCTTTATTGAAGTGGAGATAACTGCAGTCGATTTTTCTGACGTAGGCTACATATTTTTTTTTCCCTTATACTTTTTGTTTCAGGGGATTTTGGCCTTGCGAAAACATTGAAGGCTGATGATTTGACTTCTTCAGTATGTATCTGATACTCAATGCTTTTCTTTGTTATTTGCACCTAAACTATGTAAGCTCAAACTAGTTTCTTTTCGTAAAATTAAATGTTGGTTACAGCATGAAACGGGTGATTCAAGTTGGCGTTTCTGTGCTTTCGGTTATTCACTTGCTTTGTAAAAGTTAATCTAGAAATGTAGATTAACTGATAATGTTGTTCTATATTCTAGGTAGTTGGAACACCCAATTACATGTGCCCGGAACTTCTTACGGATATTCCTTACGGTTTTAAATCAGACATTTGGTCCCTCGGTATGTGACTTCTTTACTCGTTCAGGTTCAAGTGCATTTATATCAAGCGGTATTACTTTGAAAATGGTGCCAAATTGTGTTGAAGTTCTGTGTGTACATTCATTTGCAATATTTTTGGAAAGATACAAACATATGTATGTCATCTGTTACTTGTGACATTTCATTTTATAAGGTTTTCTTCTTTCTCGATGCTGAGGATACTGGTCTGTTGTCACAGTAATTCGTGTGTCATTGTGGGGTTGTTCTATCATCTATGTCTTAAAACCGTTCGCTTCTTGACCAGGCTGCTGTATGTATGAAATGGCTGCTCATCGCCCTGCATTTAAAGCATTTGTAAGAACTCTTGACTTTGTTCTTTTAAGCTCCATTGCAATTCCTCGGGTATATAATGAAATGGAAACTGACCTAATATTTTGTCTCCATTCATTATTTCACATGCTTAAATTAATGAATCTGCAGACATAGAGAACCTTGGGATTAGGGGTGCCCTTTGTAAGTTAGTAAATTCAAGTGACAAGTTAATCCACATTCCAACTATATTGTTGAAGATGATGTAGCAACAAAATCGATAAGGGAGAAATGTAGAAGAATTGAGAGATAAAATATTATTTGATCAATTGATGTCAAATCAAAGTACAAATGGCCATACTTATATTGAGAACTCAGCTTACACTCCTAATAAGATTATAACTTTATCTCTAACTAAAGATAAAGGACAAAAATCAAACTAAATGATAATTTACTGTGGCATAGTCTTGAAAACTGTTAATGTTGAGTGATCTGGTGAGTCTTTGTGCATAAGCAAATAAGTGAAATTTCATCTCATATAGCATTCACCTTATTGTGTGTTTGTTTCCTCACAATGACTCAATGAGAACCTTTTTGTTACTTATACTGAATTTGACACTTCATAATGATTCAGGACATGGCGGGACTGATAAGCAAAATAAACAGATCATGCATTGGCCCATTGCCATCTTGTTATTCTCCGTCCTTGTAAGTCAGGCCTTTGTTTTGTTTTGCCGCCATAATTTGTCTTTGTGCTAAACGCTTCTGCTTGTAGATTTTTAATTGATTGTTTGTGTGTATCACTTAGCCATGTTTTAGGAGACAACTGTATCTTGTAGATATATTGCTTTGGTCACTGTTAATGTTCTGCAATGGTCTATCTTCTCCTTCCTCCCGACACGTGTCACAAATTCTTCACATTTGAATCAAATGTAAAAACTTAGAAATACTAGAATTCGAAATCATGCGTACTCATAAAAGTAATCATTATGGCAGATGCCACCTGTTCAAGTTGGGGATATAGGCTTCCTGGTAAAAATTTTATAAAGTAGTAATTCTTAATTGTGATTATTCTATTACTACAACTAACCCGTGCAAAATGCAGCATGAGAAAGAAAAAAATGTGCCATTCCTATCTTTTTTGTTCTCTCTTTGATCAGCATTTATATGAGTTGTATGTGTAATAATATCACAATGCAGAGATACACCACATAACTAGTTTGTCAACTTTCAACTAGCGACATATGCAAGCAGCAAGTCTCAATCTTGAGAGTGTGAATGCACTTTTCTTCTGTCATGTGCTTATATTTGAGATGGTACATTTCTTTTGTCAGTATATATAAGTTAAATATTGTTTTCGCAGAAAGACACTTATAAAAGGTATGCTGAGGAAGAGCCCCGAGCATCGGCCTAGTGTAAGCTTACCAATCTTGCAATTAAATATTTGTATCAGAATATCGTGTCAGTTGGCTGACCTCAACATTTTCAGGCATCCGAACTCCTGAAGCACCCATATTTGCAGCCTTATGTTGATCAGTACCGACCATCCTTTAATCCTCTTCCATCAATTTCTCCTGAAAAACCTCTCACTGCTAATCGCGACTCCAGAAAGAATATGGCAGAAAGCCAAAGTAGTACCAGTACATGCAGTGATAAAGATAGTTTGAAGTCAAGTGAAAAGAACTTACAAGGAATGGCTTGCAATGATGACCAAAAGGGCGATAACACGGTTGTCGCCTTTGTTGATCATGAAGACTTTGAGCAACGTTATTCTAGTGAGGAACATCATGCAGCTGATGCTTTTCCTGAAGACGCAGAGGAGTATGACTCTAGGAATATTTTGCATGAAGTGAAAAAATGTGATGCTGAAGCTAAGCAACCCAGAACAATAAAAAACATTATGTTGGCTTTGAAAGAGGGAAAAATGAGAGAACATAGTTCCCCAATGAGAGGCAGCAAGGCGAAGGTCGGTGGTACAGGTGCGAACAAAGCCAACATTGAAGCATCCCCAAAAGTCCTAAAACCGAGTTCACCTACTCCAACCTCTAAATCTAATGCACAGATACCATCTCCTGGATCAACAAAGCAGAATCAAGGAATGCATACCTTGAAGCAACAGGTATCGGTTCCTAATCCTCTTATCTTGATCAGTACTCGCTTCTGAGTTTGATAAATATGTATTATATTTTAATTACCTTCTGCTTGCAGTTTCCTACCACTGAGTCCACCCCAAAGACTAAAACAAGACACGAGGGGATCTCTCCCTCTGGCGCTATAAGACAAGATGATAGGTTACCTACAAGGCCAAGACAGCGAACACCTCCTAAGCTGACTAAGCAACCTTCATTTTCTGGAAGGCTACAGCCAGTGGGTCATGATGCTTTGAATACTGAGAACGATGATGTAGAGTGTAGTCCAAATGACCAGTTGCATGATCCCGAAAGTATGTCTAATGCTTTTACTGATGGCAGTGACATACAACCGACAAAGAAAGGCTCCGAAAGGATCCCTAATTCTTCTCGTGATGGTTGTCATATACATGCCACAAGTAACGGCATGCTACATTTGCGAAAGGTTTCATCAGGAGCTTCAAAAGGAATGCAAACGGAGAGCAGCAATTCTGCTTCTTCTTCAGTGTCCATCCAAGGATTTGAACTTTGTGATGATGCAACAACTCCTTTTATTAAGTTGACCGAACAAATGCTGGGAAGTCATGAACGAGCTACTGAAACTGAAACCACAGGATCAAGACCCTCTTGGTCAATGACTACATCATCACGCTCGGATATTGCTAATAGTTTGAGGGAAAACCACGAAGATATCCAGAAATCTGAAGCATGCTCCATTGAAAATCTTGAGGAGCATCATCAAAGTTCGGATGTTGGTGCTTGTGAAGAGAAAGCAAATTCATATATACCTATAGACACTGCCTCTCCGCTTTTGAAAGAGATTGCTCTTTGTGAGGGTGATTCCACAACCAGCAAACCTGATACTACGACTGATATTTCGCGTTTGACAAACCCCAGTTTCACATCCTGTGGTGATGACAAGTCTATGGAAAAGTTTTCATCCTCGACAACAGAATGTGTCTCTACCACTACTCCACTTGTTTCCTCAAACCAAAACAATCTGCAGAGCTCAAACTTTACTTTGAAAGCCAATGGTGATGAGAAGTTTTTTCCCAAGGAACTCTTTTCCTCAAAAACTGAAAGTGCCTACCCTTCCTCCCCTATTTCAGTCAGCCAAAATAGTTTGTTGCCAGACAAGGCAAGTGTTCCACAGAATGTGGTTCTTGAAAAAGCAGCTTCTCCTCAGTTCAAACCAGCTTTTGATGATGTCATACATGTCATAAGACACAGTAGTTTCCGTGTAGGTGGCGAGCAACCAGTAATTGACAATGTGGAGAGAAATGTTGATGTTGGGAAACTTATAAATGTGGCAAGAGATGATCTTGATTTTAGTCTAACTTCTCCTCCTGCTCCCAAATCGTCTGCTTCTGGACCGGTAAGTGTTAAATCCAATATATCGGACAGTGTCCATTATAAGGAAATGGATGTGAGAAACCAAAGCAGTCCCACCTCTTCAAGTCCAAGATTAGATTCTTCAGAACAAGCAAAGCCCAACACAACGCTTGTGGAGGAGGAACGACCAGTAAAGGAAATACTAGATGTCAAATCTTTTCGACAAAGAGCAGAAGCACTTGAAGGGCTGTTAGAATTATCTGCTGACTTACTTGAGAATAACAGATTAGGAGAGCTCTCTGTTGTCCTAAAACCATTCGGGAAGGACAAGGTGTCGCCGAGGGAGACAGCTATCTGGTTGGCTAAGAGTCTTAAAGGAATGATGCTCGATGATTCTGGACGAAATTCATGATCCATTATGGAGATGGCAAGTTCATTACTTTTGTTAGTGTTTCTCTACACTTAGTTCTTTTTTTCTTAACTTTTTGAAACTTCAACTTTCAATTGAGTTCTCCAAGAAAAACAGTTAAAGAGGTTCTTTGACTTTTTCCTTTTTCGTACAATAGACCCTTGTGGTCCGGCCCTTCCCCGGACCCCACACATAGCGGGAGCTTAGTGCACCGGGCTTGCCCTTTAGTATCTTAGCAATTCTTTCTTTCCAGTAACTGTAAATAGAGAGCAAACAAATTTGAACAATTTTTTATTCCGCGAAATGTAAGAATGTCTTCGAACACGAATTTTGAGATTATGTACTCTGCTGTTTCTTGGATACATAAAACTTTCAAGTCACTTAGTTCTAATGTATTAGATATACATGTGTTTGTACTCTACTCCTAACTCCAGCTAAAATTTTGTGTAATTGAGAATGATAAGTAGATTATCAGTAGCTTAGCTGATTGTTGAGATCCACGGTTTGTTTATCAAATCTATAAACAGCTTGGTCATTATGTTTTATTATATACCAAATGTTTCAATCATGTCTCTGGTGCTGATGATTGTCACACCTCCTTTTTTTTACACACCTACCCCGAAGGATAAATTTATAAGGGAGTTTTTCCATTTAAAGTGACATTATTCGAAATGGGATTATTTATTTATGTTTTAGAGTCGCCACTTGGGAAAGGATTGGCTTTTGGTGTCCCAAGTCACCGATTTAATTTAAATCCCAAATCGAGGAAAAATTCGACTTCCCAATTGGAGTCTGCGAACCAGAGATTCTGAATAAGGAATTCTGTTGACCCGAGGGAAGGTGTTAGGCACCCCCGGATCCCGTGGTTCTAGCACGGTCGCTTAAATTATAATAAATGGCTAAAACTCTAATTTTAATACATGTTCAAACCTACAATGCAATTTTAATATTATTTACCGCTTTAATTTATTTTGTTACGAAAGTGAACATCGTCTAAGAGCGCGCTTTTGGATCACGTTACATGAAATGTACCCGGATCCTCAACACCTCTTATTCAACGTTTTGGGATTTGGATTTGGGTTGCATGAAATGCGCGCCCGAGTTAGGAAGGTAAATTATTAAATAACGCGCCTAAAGTGACTAGCGTGTCGGTATCTTTGCGGGAGACCATGGAAATTTGCTAAATGGCTTACCCGATTTCTAAAATATTTTAACCTAGTATTTACTGAGGGCCACGCAATTTTATATGTTTTGTTTGGCGAGGCTCGTCTCATTTAATTATTTTTAAAGGCCAATCCAAAGCGAACTAAGATTCTTTATTTATATTGTTGTCTCTAAAAGGGCTTGGCAATATGAAATTCGGGTTTCAAGTTCAAGTCCGGATTTAAACAAAAGGGTAAAAACCTTTTAATTTAAAAACCGCTACCTAACTCGAAAGCCCAATTTATACTCCATTGAGCTATAAACTAAGGTCTTTAAACCAAGTCTAAACAGAGAATCTTAATGGGGCTCAGATAAAGATCAATCGAATGGGCCTGCTCAGGGGCCCAAATCGAGACTGAATCGAATCCAACGGTTTAAAACACAAATTCGCATGGTCTGTTCGTTGAAGCCCAATGCGACAAGGGCAAGATTTAGTGGCAATTTTATCCAAAAAAAAACTAAGGTTCAGATTAGCATATGCAAGCAGCTTGATTCCATGGACATCTTTCCGATCTATATTAACACCGGACTATACATCTAAGTCGTTAGGCATGGACAATAAGCGGTTGACTTCAAATTCAGACGCATGAAATTCATATTTGATCGCAATGTCAATCTGATTTTTACATTTATGAGCATGCAACCCAGTCAAATTCGGTTTTCAACATTAATCAAGTCCAAATTCATACTACTGCTGTCATTAATTAAATGCTCACAGCCATTCAAATGTCGAATTACTAACTACAAGTGAAGATCTAAATCGACTTCTACCTGTATACTATTGCTAACATTAACAGTTAAGCTAATCATCCAAATACAATCATACCACGTTAATGAAAATCAACAATCCACTATGAATTAACAGTCCAAACAGTCCAGTCTTAATTAGCTACAATGAACTACACTAAAAACATCAGTAACAGCAAAATCGATACAACATGCTTTGTTTTTATTCCAATTTCCAGCTTGCAATATACGCTCATATTTCCAGATCTCCTGAGTTAGGGGAAATACCTGGAGTTTATAATGAAACAAAGCGAAGAAGAAGGTCAGCAACAGTTTGAGTGATTGACAACGGTTTTTTACAGCAAGAGATAGCAACAGCGATTTCAGCTTAGAACCCAGCAGTAAAAAGAACAGTAGGCAACCCAGCAAATTTCAGCAGTCGAACTCTAAGTTAAATGATGCAAATCAAAATCTAGAATTCAAAATCATCCTGCAGTTTCAATAGAACAGTGTATTTTGGAGTTTTGTGTATATTTTTTTTTTGGATTTTTAAGGAACTAATGATCTAATCTAAAGGGAGAAATTTTCAGATGTTAGAAATACAATTTTAGGAAATTTTAAAGAGTCAGAGAGTCGAAAATCTTCAGGGAATTTTCAGGGTCCCAAAAAACTTGCTAAACAAGGCAATGTGTGTGCCTTTTATAGGCAAAATCTAAAGCTTTTCTTCAGATTTTTGTTTTTCTCTTTAGTCCCTCTCTTATTTAGTTTTCAGTCCCTCATTTTTTAACTTATTACTCAAGTAACAACACCTATTTTATTGAAAACTATACTAAAGTCTATTCTAGAAAGTCCTACACCTATTACAATCCCTATACTACCCTTTCCCTACTTTAAAAACTACTATTCCTAATAAAACTACCCTTTTCCATACCCAAGCTACCCTTTAATTGTACTATAATTACTGGCCTATACCACTTTAAACCTGGTCCTATTACCTTGGTCAAGGCTAACTATGGTTAAACAAAAAACCTGCTAGATTGACTCAGCTATATCCAAACAATTTGAATCATTGACCTAAGGATCCGATTATCTTTCCTTATGTTTCCAAAAAGAACAAGCCAAAACTAATTAATCTGGTGATGAGCAAATACTTAACAGCAAACAAACAGGATTAAGACTAAAAAAAAACATTCATGGATCATCTAATCGAAAGCAAACACTGGATCAAAACAGGACAACATTAAACAAAACAAAGGAGAATTAATTTGAACAGAGTAAACTAGAACCCTACGAATTCTGAACGAAATTGTTATGCGCAAAATAAGAAGAAAAACAGACCAAGAAGAAAGAACTTACTGATTTTGGAGACTACGGAACTCTCCTATTCTCGAAGTTGGTCTTGAAATAGTATTATGTGTTTGTTCTTACCCAGAACAAACACATAACACGATTTCAAAACCCCTCAAGTATTGATTGACCCTGAGAAACAAACCAGCCTCGGTGGTAAAACCCTAAGTCTAAAGTTCGAAACAATTGGGGCTTTTGGAAGCAATTAAGCGTAGATCGATGGGGAATGGGTGATACGGGTTCAGGGGTATGGTTTTGTGGTGGTTTGGGACTGCGCCGCCACCAGGGGATCTTGTGGCGGTGCTAGGGTTCTTGGCTCAAAATTTATCATTCGACGAATTCCCGGCAGACTCGAGGTGGAATGAAAGGATGAAGGTGAGGCTATGGTGTTAATTTGAGGGCCATCGGACAAAGTAGGGTTTTGGCTGATTCTTCGATTGAAAATTCGAGAACACTGGCTGGGATTTAAAGGCTAAGGTTCAGGGATTTGGAACGGGGAGGTAAAGGGGGTTCTAGGGTGTGAAAGCGGGGTCATTTGGACGATCGCCGCCGGCGGAGGCGATTTCCGGCCGGCGGCAGACGGTGGGGGACGGTGCTGACGGGCGGCGTTACGCCGGAATCAGCGGGGGTATGAGAGACGGTGGTTTTGGGGGTAGGGGGGGTATGTTTGGACATTTATATATTAAATGTCGTGGGCTTCAGGACCGTTCGATCAACAAACCTCGACGGTCCTGATCTAACGCCAATGAAACGGCGTCGTTTCGTTACAACCGAACTGGACCGGGTGCTATGGGTTGGGTTTGGACGGGTTGGTGTTTATTTTATTTGGGCTCAGCCATTTTGGCCCAACTCTTGGCAGCCATTTTTTGCTTTTCTTGTATTTTATTTACTTTCTTTTGTATTTTATATATATTTTTTTTTTGTATTTTTGTATTTCTGTATTTATTTATTTTTTCTGATTTTATAAAATGCTAAAACAAAACAAGGACTTAATTAAACTATTTAAACTCCTAAAATTATTTAAAACTCTATTTAAAGATAAAAATGCAACAATTAACAATTGAAAGTGCAAAGAAACTATTTTTTGCAATTTTCTTTGAATTTTGTTTTAAAATTAATTAATACCAAAATTGTGATATTAAATCCCTAAATGCAAATGCACATTTTTTTGTATTTTTACGTGAAATAAAAATGCAACCAATTAACGCCAAAATTTAACAAAAATTCACAAAAATTGTAAAATAATAAAGAAGTCAATTACTTGAAACTTTTGGAATTAATTTGCTTAGGGCAAAAATCACGTGCTCACAATACCCAGATGTATCCTACCCGTCCCGCAGTCAAAATTATAATCAAATAAAGTCCTACTTGATTCTAGACCGAATGAGCTCAATTAGTCGAGTATTACACTACGGGCAAGCCTATGGTGTGTTGTTTGTGGCATAAGAATTTGTTCTGAGGGTGAGTGAAATGTTTTATTCAAATTCCTCAGTGTGTGATTTGTAAACGATATAATCCGCTTTTGTAGTGCGTAGGCACATGATTCTTGAAGGGAAGGTAAGTCTGGACCTCTGACTGAGAGTAGGAGAGTTGTTTAGGGGCATTGCGTGGCTAGAAAGGAGTCCACTCTTGAGGCGAGCAGGTTGCGCTGAAGTAGTCTATCCATGCGAACTATTCTTGGTATAGGGAGTAGGGTAGTGACCAAATGACGATTAGGCCTATAGAGTGTGGTTTGTTGCTAGAGGACTAACAACGGTTTAAGTATGGGGTGTTGATAATAGGCTATATAGACGCTGTTGACACTCCAATTGTACCATACTTTATTGTTGTTTTAAAGGCTAAATGATAACAAAATACTCTAATTGGTGTTCTTTTACTTTGCAGGGACTAATCCAAGTTAAGAAGAGACTATGGAGTGTTTTAGAGTCAACAATGTAGATATAAGGCCAATCAAGAAGAACCCAAACGAAACTAAGCAAGAAAGAGGCAAAAGAGAACTGGGCAACAAGCCACCGCGACCGCGGCTGGACCGCGGTAGGCCAAGGAAGTGAGGCAGAATAGTTGTGTTTCACCGCGGTCGTGCCGTGTTCTGCCGCGACCGCGGTGGACTGTGTA